TTTATTTTTGAGACAGAGTCTCGCTCTGTCACCCAGGCTGGAGTGCAGTGGCCGGATCTCAGCTCACTGCAAGCTCCGCCTCCCGGGTTTACACCATTCTCCTGCCTCAGCCTCCCGAGTAGCTGGGACTATAGGCGCCCGCCACCTCACCCCGCTAGGTTTTTGTATTTTTTAGTAGAGACAGGGTTTCACCGGGTTAGCCAGGATGGTCTCGATCTCCTGACCTCGTGATCCGCCCGTCTTGGCCTCCCAAAGTGCTGGGATTACAGGCTTGAGCCACCGTGCCCGGCCGGGGTTGTTATTTTTCAGGCTGCCACAGAGATCCGAGATATTTATAAAGCACCCAGCTTCATAAAACTGTAGGTACTTGATACACTGGGCCAGTCGTGTTTTTGTTGCCTGTTTAAAGCTCAAATGTCACCTTCATGATGCAACCCTGACTTCATTAGACAAATCCAGTCTGTCCTTTCTTTCTGCTTCAATAGTACTTTGTTCCACCACCATTATTTTATCACATAGAACATTGTATTGTTTAATGGGATATGTATGTATCTGTCCATCTGTCTTCACTTTCTTTTTTTTTTTTTTGAGATGGAGTCTCACTCTGCCACCCAGGCTGGAGTATAGTGGTGTGACCTCGCCTCACTGAAACCTCTGCCTCCCAGGTTCAAGCGATTCTCATGCCTCAGCCTCCCAAGTATCTGAGATTACAGGCGCACGCCACTCTGCCCAGCTAACTTTTGTATTTTTAGTAGACATGGCATTTTGCCATGTTGGCCAGGCTAGTCTCAGGTGATTCTCCCCCCTGGGCCTCCCAAAGTGCTGGGATTACAGGTGTGAGCCACCATGCCCAGCCTGTCTCCACCTTCGTGCTGGCAGGACATATGCCTATTTACCTTTGACTCTCCAGTGACTAGGACGATGATATGCCTTGAACATTGAACTGAGGAGGATTCCAGGGGTGCTTCTGGATTCAATGTGGGGGTACAGGATGACAAGAGCAATTAACGTTGATCTGCCACAGGAGAGGGAAGAAGTAACACATGACCTACTTTTATCATTGCCAGTTTAGCACATTGTAGCTGCTCAGTAAATATTTGTCAAACGAATTAATGGACATTACTCAGTTACCTAGCAGTTGACATTAACTTATAACTAAGGTCTATTTTTTAAAGCATTTGAATTTTTATTTTTATTGCATCATAGTATTCTTCTAATAACACTGTGATACAGCTAGGATAAGGTGTTATCACCAATTGACAATTGAGAGTACTGTGACCTTGTAGGATTGGTAAAATAAGATTACCCTTCACTCTCATGAGAAAATGGGGATAGACCTAAGACTTAGAGGCCAACCATAAATTTCCCTTAAATATCATATTGAAGTTCCCAGAGGGGCTGTCACTGCTTTTTCCAAAATCAGGGCAAACTGCCCTTTCTCATATTCGTCACTCTTTCCCCCTCTTTCTGCTCTACTGTAGTTCCCCAACCTCCAAAGCTTCTGTCCAGTCTCATTTTCTCAGTAGAAAACCTGGCACTGACCATGTGCACTGACCTGCAGGCCATGGGCAGAAAAATCAAAGTCAACATGAGCTTTTCAAGGCTTGGCGTCTCTGTCAGATTGTCTTGGCCAAGTATTTCTGTACCTTCCCGCAAGAACGTTGAATCTTCTGAATCAGACTCCATTTCTCAGTTGAACAATGTAGAAACAGAAGCAAAAACATCTACTCTATTAAGACACGTGGTCCCTGGTTTCACTTAGTCTGATGTAGTTTGGCCTGGTTGGGCAGAGGTGGGGCCTTCGCTACTGTTTGCTGATCTCACCCTCACTTCTACCGCCCCTGTTTTAATCAGGTGTGGGCAACGGGCCTTAACCTTGCATATAGTGACCAGCTGGCCCTGACTCAACTCACCTTATACCTGACAAACGGCCATCTGGATTGCAGTTTGAGCACCCTGGAAGTGCCCCGCTTTGTTCCAAAGGAAAAGAAGAAAACCAACCGCATTAGTGCGCTCTCAGTGCCGGTAAGCAAGAGATGCTTCCTGAAGGTTCTAGATGTTCAGCAACACCCACTGCCACTGAGTACAGGAAGAAGAGAGAGCCTCAGGCAAGTCACTGGACCTATCTGAGCAGGGTCTGGAAATGCGAATATGTTGGTCAGAGGAAAGGGAGAAGCCATTCCCCGATGATGCTGCAATCCGTGGAAATGCGAAAGAGCATGGGGCTCTCCTCTCCTTTTTCTGGGCAGGTATACCTACACCCATTACCTCAACTACCAGCTGTTTCACACAAAACCCGTATTGTTCTAGCCCAAGTCTCTTTTGTGAGCTTCAGATTCGTGGGTCCAAAATTCCACAGAACATATCCAAAACTGCATCCCTTTCGTCTTTCTTCCTCCTGTACTTCCTGTTAGTGGATCAAGCCAGAGGCTGATAACCCCCAGCCCCACATCCAGTCAGCAAGCAGGGCATATTGAGTGTAGCTGCTAAAATGCCACTAACCTGACCCCTCCTCTCCACAAAGATAGTGTCTTAGTTTCGGCTTCCGCCATCTCACACCTGTATTCCTCTTAAGATTCCCTGTCCCTGCCTGTCCCCTCCACCTAAACAGACACGGCAGCCAAGGTAGTAAGGTGGAAAACCAGTCTGAGCATGTTGTTCCCTTGTGTGTGATTGTGAATGGACTCCTGTGATCTTCGGGAAAATCCCACTTCCCAGCTTGGTTAAGGAGCCCCATCATGATCCGCCTCTTGCCACAGCTGCCGCCTACGCTTCTCGTCGCTAGCTCCATCGGTGAAGGGGCTGGGGCCAGAGTCCTGGGGCTGGCTGCAGGTTACCAACCTCAGCACCCTGAATAACAAAGGGCATAGCCCTGTGGAGACAGTGGGCGCTTGATTGAACAGGCTAGGTTGGTCATGGAGACAGAGAACAAAGGCCAAGGGAACCAGATGCCCTTTGTGCAAGAGTATATTGGGGACTTTTTGGCCACACTGCTCTCATAGCTGTCAGAGGATTTCTTTGGCCTTTCCTTACAACAGTGGGCTTCATACTTTTTTGCAAATGAAACTCTACTTGAAATCCAAATATATCAAACAGATAAAAGAGGAACTCTAGTGATTAATGGGACGCAACACGAGTGTCCCAGAGATACCTTTTCCAAGTGGTCTCCTTCCTCTCTGGTGAACCCCTTTGGGTCCAGGAGATACCTCTGGATTTGAATAACCTTTGTTTGACTCTTCCCAGGATCTCTGCAGTCACCATAAGGAGGGTACCTGATGTCTTGGGGGACACAGGCAGCCTCCTCCTTCCCCTCTTCTTCATCCAGTTGTCCAGTGAGGTACCAGGAAGAACCTTGCTCACAGGAATCCCCTTGATCTCATTCCTGAGTAAGAAGAGAAGCAGAGTTGGGCTAGAGAGGAGAAACAGACCTCTTTTAATTATGACCCAGGACCTTGCTAAGAGGCTTTCATGTCCAACTCTACCTGTGGCCTCCATCCTCACCAAAGAGACCTGAGAGACCCTATGTTCAATGCTAGAGGGAGAGACAGCAGTGACACTTGAGCCCTTCTGGCCTAAGTCTATGCCATTTCTGCAAGAAGCTGGGGGTCAGGTGTGGTGGCTTGCACCTATAATCCCAGCACTCTGGGAGGCCGAGGCAGGCAGATCATTTGAGCCTAGGAGTTCTAGACCAGCCTAGGCAACATGGCAAAACCCTGTCTCCACAAAAATACAAAAATTAGCCAGGCATGGTGGAGCATGCCTATAATCCTAGCTACTGGGGAGGCCTCAGCCTCAAGACAGGAGGATCACTTGAGCCCTGGAGGTCGAGGCTGCAGTGAGTCATGATAGTGCCATTGCACTCCAGCCTGGGTGACAGAGTGAGACTCTATCTCAAATAAATAAATAAAATAAAAAGCTGGAAGCAGAGTGGTATTCAGCACAAGACTTCCAAAGACAATTGCAGCTTTTAAGTATGTTGCTTCAGAAGGCTATCAGCAGAAGTTGTGCTCTGAATGAGAAGCACTCCCCCATTTTCCCCATGTTGCCCATAGGTTTCATTCCTAGCTATAGGCAACATTCTTCTGTGATCAAGTCTTAAACACTTTTAGGAAATGCGTGCACACAAAAGGGAGGCATTACGATCTTCAATAAGGCAAATGCCTCTTCAATCACTGGAGAAAAGCTCTGCAGGTTTTCTGATGTAGGAATAAATTGAAAGTGCTTTTCATTTTAGAAAGATATAAACAGATATTCCCACCTTGGTGCCACTATGCTTGGGTTGTGCACACATCCTCCTGTGCATGTGTACACACATGATCAGCGATTTTTTAAAAAAGAAGCATGTGCACATGCATATACAGTACAACTCACAAGCAAATCGAAGCTTCCGGAACAAGTGTGAACAGACTATGATGCCGTCAAGTTTATGATCAGGCAGTTGACAGCCTCCTTTGAAGATTGAAGGAGAAGAAAATGAACAGATGAAACCACAATGATAATCAGAGCACATTCAGAACTAATGCCTATAAAATGCTTCTAGTGTGGGTCCTTTTCTTTAATAATACGCTCTATAGAAGGAAAGCAAACACCTTCCTGGACTCTCAGAAGAGCTGTTGTCTCATCTCAGAAACAGGGGGCAGAACTGTCACTCAGATCTGTTTAGACCAGGTGAATGGGTTTCTGATTCACTGACCTCCACAAAGAACTACAACAAGACCTGATAAATCCCAGACGTGCGTGTTTTAGAAATGAAAAGGAATCGCCTAACAGTGTTTTAACTTTCAATTAATGTTCTGTCCAAACCAGCATCAATCACCACCCTTTTCTGTCAGTTTTCACTCTTCCTCGCTCTTTCTGGACCCTCCATACCATGGTTGGTGAGTGTCCAAAAGGGAACATCTTTGCAAACATCTAACACAACCCAAGTCATTTATACACATTTTAGCAGCACATGATCTATAATGAATGATTAAGTAAAACCTTTTGTGTTAAATTATGATGTTAATAATGATTCTGTCTCCTGTAATTTATTATAAATTCTCAAATGCTTCGGGTTTGATTTTGATAGAATGCAACAACAACAGAGTTTATATGATGACTTTATTTTTAGAACTCCTTTGAAGGCACACATTTCCCTGCTACTGCTGCTACTGTAATTATGTACAAAACCAATCACTCATTAGAGTTAGGATACATTATCTTCTAGACAGATGAGGCTAAATAAGCAACACATTAATAATTCAGAGAGCAGTTCATTATGCATGTGGATGCCTGCTTCGTAACTGAAATAAGAACCTCATCAGCCTCTGCCAACCCTTAAACAATAGTTCTGTGTTATTGCAGCCACATTCAAGTTTACGCTTGTTAAACTGCTACTTGGATTATTTTATCAAACATTCATTTATTTGTGGTCCCTTACTGCCGAGAACAGATTTTGGAAGCTCCTTTTTTAAGTTAATGATTTGAGCAATGGGTGTTATTAATTCTCAGAATATTATAAACATGATTAATTTTCAGGCAGAGATTTATTACATAAGGATTTCAACTATGTCAACTGAAATGCATCACTGTCAAAACAAGTATCATGGCGAAAATAGAATATGTTCCACACTTCAAGTGCTGGTGCTCAGAACTAAATCAATTTAAATTGTGGCTGAAGCAAAATTATATTCTCCAGTGAAAAGGAGTATTTTGAGCTTCCTTTATTTAGCTTGAAGCATTCTTGTTAGATTGTGATTTAGAAAGGTAGTTTAATAAGACTAGACTTCTACCAAGAATATTTTGTCTTTTATTTTTTTCTCCTGTTTTACTAGAAAAGACTAACCTCTGAAATTCCCACCCATTCCAAATGTGGCCAGTGGAAATTTGGAGTGAAGAGTACTGGTCTGGGAGTTAGGGATCATGAGTTCTGATCTTCTCTTCTGGCCTCAGTTTCCTCATGTGTAAAATAAAGGAGGGCTACATGATCCCCAAGGTCACTTGGGAGATTTGATTTTATGGGGCCTATAGAAAGGACTCTGCACCAAGCCTGGCCCCGGCAGCCTCATGTGTTGTGGATGGCTGAAGGAGGGGACATCTTCTGTACGGGGACACAGGAAGGCCCCATCCCTCTATACTACAGCCTTCACTTAGAAGGTCTTTTTCTTGCAGGATCTTTTAGAAAGGAGTAATACTGTAACAGGTTATATTCTAAGTTCTCATCAGCTTTTACTTTAGCCATCAGTTACTACTTTCAGCAAGGATCAACTACAAGTAAATTCTGCAGATATTTACCCAATGCCTATTTTGTGCCAGGCACTCTACTAAGCACAGAGGATATAAGGGTGAGTAGCAAAGCGCTCCGGTTTATCAAAGGACACAGAGCTTTTACTCCACCCCAAGTACTTTACTAAGTGCTTTCCAAGAATCTTTTTGCAGTCCAATATATTAGGCAGGTGCTGTTATTATGCTCATTTTTAGAGAGGAAGGCGAGGTTAAGAGATGTTAAGCATTTGTTAAAGGTCAGTAAGCAAGCGAGTAGGGAAGCCAAGATTTAACCTTGGCCTGTGTTTAACTGTCACGTGTTCCAACATGCCTTGCATCGGCTGAGGATCAGTGATCCAGCCCCAGAGTGGAGCCTGTGCTCACCCCTAAAGAAGTCTCTTTTTGAGACCATTGAGAAAGCTATTCTTTGAAAGGAGGATGTATTTCCCAGTGTGACGAGGTTGTCTCCAGGAATATTGCCATTATCCATTGGCTTCTCGTCTGCTCTGAGCTCAGCCTCAGCTTCTGAGTCTCACACAGAAGCATTAAATAGACCAGATGTTCATAGAGGAGTCTTAGATTTTTAAAAAGGACATGTAACTGGACATGGTTTCCTATACATAGCACAAATTTCCAAGCAAATAACACAGAGCATGGAAAAGAGCATGTCACTTATACCATGAACCATGTAGAAAAGCTTGACTATGTTTTTTTAAAAAATGAACAGTTCACACACTAAAAATAGGCGTGAAATATACATCTTCAACTTTTCTAAATCAAGT